TGTCCCTCTTCAAGGTGTTGACAAATGTTTCCCCGGGGGTTCAGACACCATTTAAAGGTTCCGGGAGAGACCCATTGTTAAAGAGAGTGTGATGAATCTTTTTGTGCTTGGGGTTTCTGGTTTTTATAATATTGGGTTTGGTGTAAAATTAAAGTGTGGAATATTATTAATATGAAAATGTGAAATTACTTATGTATTTATTTATTCTAATTTATATATTGTAAACTGTGGTGGAAGGTTGGGATTTAAGAATTTACCTGAGAGTGGAAGAATGGGTTAGTCCAGGGTAGGCAATCTCAGGCCATGAGGCCGTGCCCCCGAAAGTTTTAGATCTCACCTTGGGTCAACACACCTGAATCACATGATTAGTTTGTCACCAGGCCTCAAGGACATGTTGAGGAGCTAATTTAGCCATTTAAATCAGCTGTGTTGGTTTGAGGACACATCTAAAACCTGCAGGGTAGTGATGGCCAAATGAAGCTTTCCGAAGCACTGAAGCTTGTATCGAAAAATGGTTCATTACTCGAAGCTTTTCAACACAGTCCTCTCCGGTGACATCTGGTGGCGAATATTTTGAAGAGCAGCTTGAATCTGCAAAATAAAACGGACTGCTCAATCATCACTGCTCACTCAAGAGTGGAGTTCTCTCTGATATTTGGGCCACCGTTCCGTTGCTTTGAACATGTGATTGGTTTTGGCATTGTCTCGATTGGGGGGCTGAAAAAATGTAATGCGTATTTGCGTAATACATGTTGATCAATAAACTATCCTTATTTAAACATGCACTATGGTGTGGCCTTTCTTTGCTCATAACTCCTTGATGTTGGTAAATACAATAAGTGAGCAATATATACATTATACATATGATAACGCACAGCACATTATGGAGTATGCCCCTGCTGTGGAGTCCTTCCACCATCTACTTGTCATTCAATCACTGGACAGCTGGACAGTTCATACAAAATATTAGATGAGGCCAATTGTCCCATACATATTTTGACCTAGGGGTAGATGATTGTGAACTGGAAAGGGAAAATGCTAGGGGGCTGAGTACGCTGCATCGTTACTGATTTGTAGAATCATTTTGATTCGATACAGGATCCGATTCAATATGATTGGAATCTGGAAAGTTTTGCCCCAGTCAGAAATATACAATTCTGGTCATGTATCAGTATATATCCATAATTTTGTATCTATTAAAGAAAGCTGACACATGTGAGACTTCATTAGAGATGTAAACAGAGAGTTTATGAAAACCTGCAGCTGCAGAAGCCAACGGAAAAAAAAGAGGCAAACACAGCGCGGACCCGACGACACACCAAAATCTGATTCTGACGCGTCGGGTCCGCTCTGTGTTCACGTTTGTATGCAGAATCCGTAAACCTGCTCCCAGTTACTGTTTAGCTGTATGGTGTTGACGACATGTTGTGAGGTTTAAGCTGAGATGCTGGCGTTTCAGGCATAATAACGTTAATTCACAAATCGACACAGGATTGTAATGAATCAATATCACTTTATTCTTTTTTTTTTTTTTTTTATCAGTATCATCGTCATATATTTTGCAATCTACATGCGAATGAACTTTTTTTTTTTTTTTTTTTTTTTGGCCTGTCCCGTTTGGCTCTTTTGCCATCAGAATTGTTGTCTAAAGGCAAAGAAAGATGCCCAACGGATTTACTTTACCAAAACTGACCATCCCAGCCTTGCCGTAATGGTCCATTGATTCACCTTTTATTGTTTATTTATTTTCACTTACTGAATACGGGACAGACTTGACTGGGGGAAAGAAGGGGAGAAAGAAAGAGGGAAAGAGAAACAGCTGAGAAGAGGGACGGGGGAGAAGGGCAAAAGACAAAAACCAACAGAACGGGCAGGAAAAAAATGCATAATCAATCACCTGGATCACCTGCTGAGAAAGAAAAAAGAAAGCAAGCAGAAGAGAACAAGAGTAATAGAATAAACAACATCACAATGATATATGGAATATTACAGTAATACTAATGTTAAACATTATTGTGCAGCACATAAGATCAACAGAACACAGTGTGCTTTGAGGTAGGAGCCAAAAAGGGTGTAGTTTGTGGGTGTGATCACCGTGTGTACACCTGTGAGCATGGACGCGCTTGTTTTTTGTTTTTTAAAAGGTTCCTTCATGTAATAATCTGCTAGAGGGTGTGGGGGGGCCACAGCCCCGTCCTCCAGGGCGTGAAACAGGTGTGGAGGAGATCAAAACTCCAGACATCCAGAGGCCCCCAGAACACAAGAGACCAAGGAAGACCAACAGAGGGGCAGCTGCGCCACTGTCCCGGAAAGAGCTGAGGAGAGTCCCAGATGAGGGCTCACTCAGCAGCCGCGGAGCAGAAGCCAGGGGGAGTTGCAGTGACGCGCCCGTGAGCTCCGCCGGCAGCCAGCTGCGCCTGAGTGACCCAGCCCCAGGCCGAGAGGCCGGGGGCACCCCACCTCCGAAGTGGCCCGAGCGAGCCCCAGGCTCCAGGCCCCGATAAGCGGCCGCCAAGGAGTGAGCCAGTGTGTACCTGGACGCCCATCCCCGGACACAAAGAACCACCAACGGACCGATGTCTGAGGGGTCCGCCACTGGCAGGGGAAGTGGTGGTAGGGGGAGATAGGCCTCCAAACCTTGGAGGGCCTGAGATGTCCCCAGAGAGGTGGCGCCTGACACCCAACCTGACATATAGACACAGACATACAGGCACACACAGATACAAACATCCATTCCCACCCTCATGCTCTCATATGCACTTACTCCACACTCAACCAACGTGGAGACAGACATAAAGAGACGTTGTACACACGATCACACTCCCCAAGCGTACTCTACAAACCGGGTCTAGGTGCCCTTGCCCATGCACCCAGACCCAGGTGGTGTTTCCCCCACTTCGATAAGTCTTCACATATCTCGCGCCAAAACTTCTGAACTGGTGGACAGAACCAAAGAGCGTGGATATAATTGTCCGGTGAATTGGTTTGGCAGTGTGAGCAGTTGTTGGTAGACGAAAAGCCCATCTTGAACATCCGATGACCTGTATAGTGCACTCTATGTAATATTTTGTATTGAATTAATTGAAGACTGGGATTTCTAATTAGATGAAAGGTTTTTAAGCAAATCTGAGACCAGAAGTTTAGGTCTAAGTTAACTGATAAATCCGCTTCCCATTTTGCAATAGGAAGTGATATTGATTCATCTGTTTTAGAAAGCATTCTGTATATTTTGGATAGTAATTTGGGGGGTTTAAGAGTAAGAAATTGAACCACACTTGGTGGTGTTTGTAGTTCAACTTGACCCGGTTTAAATTTCTTTTTTACTATGGATTTAATTTGTTGATATTCTAAAAATCTTTTCTTGTTGATCCCATATTGTGTAACTAGTCCGTCAAATGAAATAAATTCTGTTCCTTCTAGTATATGTTCTAAATATTTGATTCCTTTATCACTCCAATCTGAAAAGTTTATCATATTATTGTTTTGTAATATGTCAGGGTTGTTCCAGATATGGTAAATGGTAAATGGCCTGTATTTATATAGCGCTTTACTAGTCCCTAAGGACCCCAAAGCGCTTTACATATCCAGTCATCCACCCATTCACACACACATTCACACACTGGTGATGGCAAGCTACATTGTAGCCACAGCCACCCTGGGGAGCACTGACAGAGGCGAGGCTGCCGGACACTGGCGCCACCGGGCCCTCTGACCACCACCAGAGGGCCCGGTGTACGTTTGCATGGGATTAATGAAGACGCCGTCAATTTTAGAAACTCCCACCATGCTGTCAGAGAAGAGCTGATGTTGATGCTTTTAAAGCATATCACTTTATTCAATTTACCATGGATTGTAATCAGAAAGGCGATAATCAAAGCCCACCCCTAATCAAGAACTTGCAAAGTAAAAACATGATCTATGTCAGGTAGCCCTTTTGTTAGTTACATTTAAAAAGAGGATTAGTGTTACTGTGCGCTGGCTGAGTCTGTTCCTTTTCTTAGAAATAGTTTCTCCTGCCCTGGAGAAAATCCACTTGCATGGAACAGAAGAGGCTGTGGAGTGCAGGAACTACACTGCAAGTTGGTAGATATGCAGGTATTCCTGGGTCCTGCAGACTATCACCTAAAAACAATAAACAAAATGATTGTCTAAACTGTAGCAATGTAATGTACGTATAGTGTCAAATACATTGTTGTAGTCTTCATCAGCTTTAATTCACATAGAAGTGTTCCTAAAGTCATATGCTGTAATGGCATTTCCATTATGAAAACATGATTTTGGACATGTCAGGTTTTTCACTTCGGCAGATAAAATGAATTGAGCAAAATCAACTCAAAATCCGCGAATGATTCACCTGCCTGTAAACCACTGAAACACTTGTGTTCGGAATGAAGCTTCGGACGTCACCGATCACGTGACTCTGGCCAAACGACACAGTGCTTCTGCAGTGTGTTGTTTTTTGGGTACACACCGGAGCGCCAGCTTCAAGCGGGCCATCATTAGTCTAATGGGTAGATGTAATCAATAAACCGTTCTTATGTAAACATGCATTATGGTGTGGTATTTCTTTGCCTGTCACTTCTTTATGTTGGTAAATAAAATACATGCAAAATACATATAATAACATACAACACAGTATGGCGCATGCCTCTGCTGTGAGGTCCTGCCTCCAGGTACTTAGCAATTAACCACTGGACACCTGGACAAATCTGTTCATAGATCATATGATATTTGCTACATCTCTGATATATTTTGAAACTGGGGAAAGAACTGATTGTGAACTGGGTGGGGGAATCCTTGCGAACATGTGAAATACAAAAATTCAGATTCAAATTCAAATTCAAATTTTATTTGTCACATACAAATATCATATAACATGATGCATTTAAGGTTATCCTGTGTGGCTTCTATTCAAGAAAAGAATTTGTTCCACTGTGCGAGGACTGAGTCTGTTCCTTTCTTGGATATGATTTCCCCTGCCTTAGAGAAGATCCTCTCACATGGAACGGATGATGCTGGGGTGCACATAAACTGCAAAGCAAGTTTATGAAGATGGGGGTATACATTCTTCCTGGTTGCCCAGAAGTGGAGCGGATCCTCTGTCCGGGGAATCAAAGGATCTGCCATGTACCTCTGTACTTCCACTGTGGCATCTGCTGTGGCATTCCTCACCTGCCTCTCCACCATATGGCTGTCCAGCAAATCCCACAGCCCACCACCTGAAAGACTAACGGAATTAAATAGCTGCACATTCTGTAGACTGACATTTCCAGATGTATTTTAAAATGACATCACATGTGAATATTCAACTGTAAGTGTTACTAAAGATATCTAATGAAATTTATATTTCGACAAGCAGATTGTCGTTTTGTTAAGAAACGTCTAATAGTCACATATTTCCAATAACGGAATTGAAACTTTGGGATATTAAAGCATATTCTTACTATTGAGACATTTTTAGAATATGCTGGAACCCTGTCATTGTGTTATGGACTTCAGGTCAACAAAAGCCATACCTGACTGAGTTGCAGAACTGGTTGCTGGCTCTGGCTGTGACGAGGTAGATGGGATAGGAGGGACGGGCATGATCTGGTCTTTTTCATTTTCAATGATGGTGGCACATTCTGCAGTCAGACGTCTCACTGCAGCTTGAGCATTGGTCTGACTGCAAAACCCCACAGCCTTGAATCTTGGATCAAGCAGGGTAGCAATGGTCATGACACTCATTGTTTCCAAGTGAGACGAACATTCACCCAGCATTCTTGTGAGGTTCATGCACAGCTGGCGGGCTTTGTCATCCAGAACTTGAGGTTGTTTTTTAGCAATTGCATACCGCAGCATGCAGACAAGTGGAATGACTTTGGACCCAGATACTCTCTGCTCTCCAGAAAGTTCAGTAGTGGCTGTGTAAAAAGGAGAAAGCACCTCCAGGCACTCTTTAACTGAGTGGTACTCCTCAGCAGTGACAGGTGTGAGATCTGTTCTCATTGAGACAAGGGCAGCACTAACTGGCTCTCTCTCCTCATACAGACGCTGCAGCATGGTGTATGTGCTGTTCCACCTGGTATCAACCTCCTGAAGGAGCTTTAGATGTGATCTGCCCATCTGCTGCTGCATTTGGCAGAGCTTCTCCTTTGCTGTTGTGCTAGATCGGAAATAGCTTACCAATTTACGTGCCTTACCTCTGATCTCCTCAAGCCCAGGCTATATATATATATATATATATATATATATATATATATATATATATATATGTGTGTGTGTGTGTGTGTGTGTGTGTGTGTGTAAAGACAAGGTTTGTGAACTTTTCAGTCAAAATAAACAAATGCAAAACAGAGGCAAACAAGAACACAAAGCTGGCAAACCTACCCGATTGACCGAAATCAACTCAAAATATTCCCACACGCCAGAACGTCCTCTCTTCCTTGCTGGTTCCATATCTGTCAGTGGAATGGTCACCTCTTCGCTCTCTGTCACCATCAACACACTCCACGAATCCCGTGGATGATTCACTTCCTTATATCCGTTTGAATCAGGTACCGAAGCAGTTACGTGCGTAATGAAGCTTCGGACGTCACTGGTCACGTGACTTTTGCCAAACGAAGCAAGCCTCGACACAGTGCTTCTGAACCAGTGTGTTGTTTTTTTCGACACACGCTCCGGAGCGCCAGCTTCAAGCGGGCCATCACTACTGCAGGACACCGGCCCTCGTGGACTAACTCTACGTCCACACGTACATGGGTATTTTTGAAAACTGAGATTTTCCGTTTTCATTTTAAAAAATAATCCCGTCCACACGTAAACGCAGAAATGAAGGAAAACGCTGCTAGGAACATGCCAAAGCAACAGGTGGCGATATATTCCTAACCGTGTAGAAATGTTGGGCAATCAGAAGTCTAGAAGCCTCGGTGGGAAATAGTAAACAAAGATGGGGCATAGAAGCAGAACCGAGTTGTATGTGTGGAGGGACAGTAACTGTTTATGCATATGTAAGCATTTAAACACTGCAGAGAGTATAAGTAACAGTACTGTAGAAATTAATTTGATCAAAACAATAACGTGGCGCACAGTGTGATGTCAAAAAAAGCGCACACCTTTGACGCTGCGTTTTCTCAGTTTTTCTCGTCCACACGTAAATGCAAAAACTGAGTTTTCGAAAATATCCACCCTGGCAGGCGTTTTTAGAATCTACGTTTTCAGTGACCGAAAACGCCGTTTACGTGTGGACGAAAGGTGCAAACGCATAGAAAAATCTGCATTTTCCAAAATACCCGGGTACGTGTGGACGTAGCCTGAGATTGCCCACCCCTGGGTTAGTCTGACAGCTGAACATATTTAAGGCTGCCAGTTGTCATTGGAGAGGGGGGATTTGTGCTGTGAAGAAGCTCGATGAGTTAAGGAGAGCTGTATAGCAAATAAATACTTTTGTTCCACTACACTTGCCTTGGTCCATCTCACTGTGTTTCCAGCCGCTAAGGGCCGCCCTGTTACACCTTTCATCCTTTGTTTTTTCTTTCCATCTACCACTTATGATATACACGACCCACCACCATAACTTCTTACAAATTAGTCTCTCATCCATCATTGCATTGGGTCCCTTTGCCAGTTTCATGGCCAAAGTGAGTCTTAAAGTCTGCAGAAAAGCAGTTAATCAGTTAATCCATTCAACAATTTTGTTGGGCGTGCATGCCAGACATAAACTGCTATCCATGCTGTGTTAGGATTTACTTTCTCGCTTCTGGTGTTTGAGGCAAGAACCAGAATTCCAGGTACATGCCCTGCAAAGGCCAGGTATATTTGCTTATAAGGATATTGAAAGGACTGTACACTTCGGCTTTACCGTCATTTAAAGAGCTGTATGCATTTGTGTCACGGCCCCAGAAAGGGCTGCAGGCCTTTGCTTTACAGCTATCCAAACAGCTACATGCTTCTGTTGTACAGCTGGTTAAAGGGCTGCATACGGCGTGAAGCAGTCCAGTTAAGCACAGCTGCATGTTTCTGCTGCACAGTCAAAGGCAGCTGCATAATGAGAAGGGTCCTATGTGTTACACACTGGAGGACGACAGGGTTCATTCAGGTGCACATGAAGATTTATTGCACTGAAACACAGCAAAACAATTCAGTGTTACTGGCGGCTTCCATTGTAATAACTGGCCTGCGTTACTTTTGTGTCATTACGTGTAATGGCCATGTATTAATCAGCCCTTAACACACAGAGAAAATGACCAGTAAACAATAGACAACATAACATGTACTGGCTGGTCTATTTCCTATAACTTTAACTGACACCAGCTAACTGTTTCCTTTCACCTTACTGATGGAACAACACGGTTACAGAGATTAATGCAGGAGGCTAACATGACTTAGCTAGCGCACAAATGTTACTAGCATTACCCACAGATAACGTGAAACAACTCCCTTATTCGCTCACATCAAACACCATATAAACAAGAATTACACTCCAAACATGTTAAATAAGTATCAACTTTGCATAAATGTATGTAGTTCTCGTATATTGCTCTCACCTGAAACACAGCAAAACAATTCAGTGTTACTGGCGGCTTCCATTGTAATAACTGGCCTGCGTTACTTTTGTGAAGGATTATTTGGCCAGTTACCCATTTGGCTGAGCCGCCACTGCCACCTACTGGCGAAACTAAATATCGCCCTAACTTCACATCAGGTGGGAGCAAATGAGCTTTTCGCTCTGTGTTATGATGCAAACTATTGTCACAACAAAGATGATGGGGGGTGGGCACGAACACATAAGGAACACATCTGAGACTTGTTCTTAATGCTCAAAATACTCAGGGTGCCACATATGCACATACTTTAGCAGTGCCAAGCTAAATTGGCACTTCCCTTTGTTGGACTAATCACAGTTGGCCATAATACTAAACTATATTTAACCTAAATATATGGGTCCTGTGATTTGAGTATGCAGGTTAACTGCTTAATACAGTGACTCCACTATATAAAGACTTCATTGTGAGTATGCATAGTATATATGAGTATATATGTGTAAGGAAGAGGACTCCCTTACTATATTTAGGGCCCGAGCACCGAGAGTGCAAAGGCCCAATTGTATCTGCTCCGTTTCTTCTTATTATTATTCAGGCAAAACAAGGGCCTCTTTGAGGGCCTAAACATGCTCAAAAACCCATGCAATTTTGCACACATGCCAGGTCTCATGAAAATTTTCGTATTTTAATGGTTTTACATATGAGCATTGGAAAATTGCTCTAGAGTGCCACCTATGCTTTGTTAAATGCAGCCCTACAACCACATCGTTTGAGGTACATGTATGAAATTTGGCACACATGTGTATCATGCCAAGACAAACAAAAAAGTCTGTGGGCCCATTGATGCAAACCCAACAGGAAGTCCGCATTTTAGAAGTGAAGGTGACATTTTTGCTCTAATTTTGCCATTTCCATGCCTCGAACTTTTTCGAACTCCTCCTTGGAATTTGGTCGTATAAGCTTCATGTTTGGTCAGTGTCAACTACATACCTGGGCCATGTTAAATTGCGGAGCTTTTGAGTTTTCGTGATACGGTGTGGCGGTGGCGCCACGGCGAATTTCGATGACTCGCCATGAAAATCTTATTGCCTCTCATTCCCTCATACATTGTCCGATCTGGACCAAAGAGCACACATATGATAAGGCTCCACCCCTGAACATATTTCAACTGCCATATTTGACATCAAGGACAGCTTTTACACTTTGGGGTACAGTATTGTGATGGGTGACATCTGCAGCCTCAAATTTCTCCAGGAAAGCCTTATGGAGTTGGTCTTGGGTTACAGTGAAAACTGTGACTTTTCGCGAAAGGGTGTGAACCCTGCAGAATGGCGAACTTTGATGTCTTGCCATGAAGAAACAAATTAGTATAACTCAATGAAATCCAGTCTGATCAGTACCAGACTTTACAGGCATGGTGTCAGACCCGCCCTGAATAGATTGATGTGCCCATTGTCAGGAATACGCAGAATGCCACCTAGTGGCAACAGGAAATGTCATGTCTTTCATTTTGTCGTACTGATTTTCACAGGTTCATCGTGGCCACCTCAAAAGCGGTGAATATCACCATCAGTCCCTCGTGATGCTTCAGTGCAAAAATTGTGACTTTAAACTGAACGGCGCACCCTGGTGGCAACGCGGTTCACCGTGAACAATGAAGTGGCGTTTGAGGGGCTTGGAAAGTTTAAAAAGTCTTGAAATTTGGCACACACCTCCAATGGGACGAAGGCTTTGTTGTTATGTGATCACCTTCCTTGAATAGCGCAAAATGGCTCCACAGCGCCCCCTAAAAAAACTTTCAAATCATCAGCCCCTGCTCTGTGTTTTATGTATGAGTCTGAAATCTGGGAAGGTTATAGGAGGGATCAAGATGTACAAAAAAAGTCTCTTGGAGCAAAATCCCAAATCCAACAGGAAGTCAGCCATTTTAAAATGAATGTGTAATTTTGGCGACATTTTCCCCTCTTTTCAGGCACCGTTCTTTGACGAACTCCTCCAAGGGATTTCATCAGATTGATGCAATTTCCTGTGTGTGGAATCTAAAGACCTTTGTGATGTTAAATTGCGAAGCTTTTTACGTTCAGTGAAACGGGGTGGTCATGGCGGCACGTGGAGTTTCAATCACTCGCCAAAAAGCAGTAATCTGCTGTCACTCGAAAACACAATGTCCAATCTCTCCCAAGGTCGTAGGCATGATTAGACTCGAGCTCGGATATGTTTGTTATGCCATTTGTACATAATGGTTAGAGCGCCACCTAGTGGGACGACTATAATCCTGGTTGAATAAGATGAAATGTTAGCTGGTGGTTAAATGCATGAAATCCATCAATGTCACATCAGATCGGACATGCTGGTATTAGGTTTTGGGCGTGGCTCGACACGCCAGGGTGCGAGGGCCCTCATAACGCTGCTTGCAGCTTTAATTATATTATATTATCTGTATAGCACTTTAGAGCACACCTTTCACTTTATTAAAAGCACCTTATCAAGCACTTTATTTAACACTGAACTTTAAGCATGGATTTGCACACAAGAAGTTTAAATATTTATTGACTATTTATTGGGAATTTTAAAAT